GCCATGGCGCAAAGCATCAACTTCATTCACTTTCGTACAAACGTTTTCCTTCGCCGTAATTACTTACTGGCGCGTTGCTGATCCGCTCACCAGACGGCGGTACTTTCGAATTATGCACCGCTGAGCCAACCAACATTAAAATTCGGAATGCGTTGTCGTCTACTGTGGCGCGTACTGACGGCGGCGAACCCTGCGAATCAAAACAAGCCCGTGCTTCGTCTACATCGACAGTAGTCAGGTTCGTTCGAGGTCCGAACGAGGCAAGGCGATCGTTCCATATTCACTAGTTGGCAGTTCAATGCAACGAACAGCGACGCTGTTTGTAGAGGTCTAACCGTTCACCGCCACAACTTCGATGAAAGTGACCGTCGTCACCCTCAGCTTATTTCGAGAACGATAGACTGATAGATGAGATCGATTTCCCCGTACTGTGAATGAAACGCCACCTTCTGTACCGGAAGTAGCAGTCACTGTTTCGCAATCAAAGCAAGATGCTTAGTAGCAAAGAACCAGGCGACGGATTGGTGCTCAGCATGCCGGTCGTGCTGTTGGTCGGCATTACGGTGTTTCGGGCGGTGGCCCATTCGCGGGACGTGTCACAGGCCACAATAGCCGCTCAACGCAAGAAGAGCAGCGTCTCAGCCACCGGTAAGAAAACGGCAAAACTTTCTTCTTCTGTGCATCATTTGCCAATACCGTTTTTATTCACGTCTCGATCACTTTTCAGTATCACAGTTGATGTCCGACTACAAACGGTTGAGTAAGTACGGTGGACTATCGTTCGTTGTCTGTCCGTATGTCTGTTAGTTCGCCCATTTGTTAGTTCCAACGTTTGTGTTGTGGTGTTGTCGTTGTTGTGAAGATTTGAGCAAGTCTCTAAGATAACATATGATCAAGCTGATTGACCAGTGGATAATCAAATTTTTGCACACAATTCATGGTCAGGGCTGATGTGGTCTTTTGATGATGCACACGTCGTTGGAATTTTTCGCAACGGCGGTTCTCATTAGTGTGTTGGCTGGATCTCCATTTTGACTGGCAATAGTATGTCGTCTTTCGCTTCTGATGTCCAGTGGCAGGCGAAATCACCGATCAGATCGCAACACGCTTTTCTATCCGTCACGGTTCGAAATGTCCGCCATTGTCATCAGCGTTTGTCAATCCACTGCTGGATGAACGCTTCTTCAAGACTTCGCTATAAGCCTCTGTTTTCTGCCATTTTCATCCATCTTCATCCAGCGAACTTCGTCAGCTCATCCTGCCATCGATCTTGAGGTCTTCCTACGGGCCATTTACTCTCTCTCTCTCTCTCTCTCTCTCTCTCTCTCTCTCTCTC